TTTAGACCCTCACCTTCTAAACTTTGTCATCACTCGCGAACAACACACAGAGAGCACACCAGAAACTCCAGTTGATGCCCAAATATGATTTTAATGAATGTTGGTGCTATATATCTTATGCCTCCTAGTGGTTCATCCATGCTCTTCATTAAAAAAATAAATAAAATAAAAATACATACTAATATCATTTGCATATAATCATATACAGTACTGTAGAATTCTTTTGCACAGTACTGTATAGATAGAATTGTCTTTTTTTTCATAAAGAAATGCAGTAAATGGCATGTCCTGTATGTGTCTAAAATGATTAAAGCGCTTGCATTAAGATGAGCAGCTGAACATACGTCACGACACAGATGTTCCGTATCACTGGCGCAGCACAGACGCCAACACATTGATTTGTGGCTCGATCACATTCTGAACAACATTGGACAACATCAGCCGCGCCACAAGACCGACAACGTGGCAGTCTGACACCAATGAGATTCGTGTTTTAATGGCTTTCCCTCTTCAGACCCTTAAGAGCATTAATTTATGTTTCCCCTTTCGTTCTCCTCATAAAAAAAAAAAACTTTCAAAGGATATTTCAACATAAAACTTCTTCAGTTACTCTGATCATGTCGTTTCAGTCCTGTACGACTTTCTTTCTTCTGTAAAACACAAAAGGAGATATTTAACACAATGTCCATGCTCCTCCTTTCCATGCAAAGCAAGCATACAGTGACTAAGGACGGAAAAGTATACCATAAAGTACCATAAAAAGTATTATTATAACTGTAATATTGCTGTTACTGTAGTAGCATGAGTCTCAGATGAAGTAAAGCTGTGTTTGGTCGGAGGAAGAGCTTGTCCGTCAGACGTCACGGTCATTTTTGGCAGCAAACAGCTGCAGAGCTTCAAACTTCTTGTCAAGACTCTTTCTTGGGAGATACACAACACATAACAGTTGTGTTAATGTTTGTTTCTGTGAATTGTGGGGACTTTCCATAGACTTCTATTAATTTTATTCTGACCAAATGATATTTTTTATCCACTAACCCAACCCTAACCCTAAACCTACCCCTTACAGAAAACCTTTCAGATAAACATCATTTACTATTTTAATAATTTTTTTCCCCTAGTGTCCCCACAATGTCAAAAATTACTGTCCTTGTGGGGACAT